TACTACTACTACTACTACTACTAATACTACGACTACATATCTACGTACTTTACTACTACTACTACTACTACTACTACAACTACTACTACTACGACCACTACTACTACTACTTACTAATACTACTACTACTACTACTACTACTACTACTACTACTACTACTAATACTACTACTTACTACTACTACTACTACTACTACTACTACTACTACTACTACTACTACTACTGACATTACTACTACTACTACTACTACTACTACTACTACTATTCCACCACTACTACTACTGCTGCAACTACTACTACTACTACGATTTCACTTTACTACGAAGACGACTCCTACGGCTACTATACTTACTACTAATACGACGACTACATACTCCTAACTACTACGGACTACGACAACCCACTACTTACGACTACTACCACTAACTTTACGACTACTCTAATACTACTTACTAATCTACTACTACGACGACTACTACTACTACTATACTACCTACTACGACTGACGAATACTACTACGGACTACTTGCTACTACTATTACTACTACTGACTACTACTACTACGACTAATACTACATACTTTAACTACTACTACTTGACTACTGCTGCCAACTACTACTTACTACTACTAATACTACCACCACTACTACTACTACTTACTTAATACTACGACTACTACTACTACTACTACTACTACAACTACTACTACTACTACTAACTACTACTAATTAATTTACTACTACTACTGTAATATACTACCCCGACGACATGCCACTACTACAACTACTACTACGACTACTACTTTCTTCTTCTATTCTACTATTTTCTACTACTACGACGACGAAACTACGACGACTATTACTACTACTACCACTACCCCACTACTACTACTACTACTCCTACTAGACTACACTACTACTACTAGTTACTACTTACTACTAATACAACTAATACTACTACTAATTACTACTTACTACTACTTATACTATTATTACTAACTACTACTAATACTACTACGACTATACTACTGCTAATAGTTACTACTACATAGTATACTTACTAGTGTTATTCTACTACTAAGATCTTTACTACTACTAAGACTATTAACACTTGCTGCTACTACTACACTTCCACTACCACTACTATACTACTACTACTACTACTACTACTACTACTACTACTACTACTACTACGACTACGACTACTACTACTACTACTACTACTACTACTACTACTACTACTACCACCACTACCACTACCACTACCACTACCACTACTACTACGACTACTACTACTACTACTACTACTACTACTACTACTACTTCAACACATGAAGATAGCATTGCGGAGCCCTCAATGCCTCTCCCCTCCACCCACCAGCAGGTCCACGGATCACCGCATTGTTTGATCTGCGTACACAGCATGGAGCACTATGAATGCAAGCATTGACATCTGCAGAGCTGCCCAAATACAAACATGCAAAAAAAGTCGACCGCCACACTCAAGCCTACCACGAGACGTCAATAGCCCTAATCGGCGTGGTCCGCCGCGCTCGTGGCAGGCGCGGCTGACAAGAAAGAAGATGCCTCGGCAGCCAGCCACACAACTACTCCGTAATGTAAATGGACCTGCTCTGTGTGTCAAACGCAACCCATGGACTGCATAAGAAAAAGTCATCAACTACAACGGCTTCTGGCAAAGCCCGGTGGCGATCGGGTCCCATATGAAAGCCCCCCGCGACGCACAACGCACTGTCCGATCCGACAGCAAATCAATTACAGAAACAAAATTCCCGAAACTCTGGACGCCCGAAATGGGTACGGCAAAATGGGTACGATGCCCAACAACAAAGACTGTCCCAAACCGACGGCGGCCGCTGTTGGGCAGGCGGCCTCCTGCTCAGAGTGAAAAGGAAAGGCAGTCGGCCTTTGTACCCATCACTTCCGTACCCACCTCGATCTAGAGGACCCAAAAATGGCATAAGCACAACACCTCGGAGGTCTGTGCGGATTCCTCGGATCGGCGCTGGACCCCCTTCCTGGCGCGCCAGGGGCGGCGCCAGGGGCGGCGCCAGAGGCGCCGCCACGGGGGTCCAGCACCGATCCGAGAAATCCGCGCGGACTCCCGAGTTTGACATGTTTATGTCATTGTTCGCTCCCCGACGAGCGCCCTGAGAGAAACTACGATTCGGGAATGGACAGACCTCCCTTTAGTACAACGTGGTTTAGCGAAAACGACCTGAGGCACAAACCTGGCGGGCGCAGGCCTGGAAAATGACGGCCGCGGCGCCCTCTCGAGAACCGAAAACGGACAATTCGCTAATCGACGTGTCACTGTTGGGGGTTCTGTCCACCCCCGAACGATAGACTACTGCACAGAGATCGTTGGCCGGCCAAACGACGTGGCCACGTGCACACCTCCGCCGCACGGCAGCGCGTCAGCCTCGGCCACGGGCCAGAGGCTGGTCGCAGGGCAGGCACGAAGACACCTTACCTTCCTCCTCCTCCTCCTCCTCCTCCTCCTCCTCCTCATCCTCCAGCTCGCTCCGTCTCGCTCCTCCTTCTCCTCCTCCTCCTCCTCCTCCTCCCATCTCATCATCATCATCATCATCATCATCATCATCATCATCATCATCATCATCATCATCATCATCCTCCTCCTCCTCCTCCTCCTCCTCCTCCATCCTCCTCATCCTCATTCATCCTCATACTCCTCACCATTCCTCATCCTCATCCTCATCCTCATCCTCCTCCTCCTCCTCGTCATCAGCATCAGCATCAGCATCATCATCAGCAGCATCATCATCATCCTTCTCCTCCTCCTCGCTCCTCCTCCTCCTGCTCCTCATTCTCCTCCTCCTCCTGCTTCTCCTCCTCCTCCTCGTGATTCTCCTCCTCTTCCTTCTCCTCCTCCTCCTTCTCCTGGTTCTCCTCCTCCTCCTCCTCCTCCTCCTCCTCCACCTCCTCCTCCTCACGAAGGTGGTCGAAGGTGGGCGCCCGAGCCTCCCGAAAGCACGGGCCACGCGAGACCAGGCCCGGCGGGGCGGAGGCGGGCCTCGCGCGCGACGGGTGTCTTCATCGGGGAGCCCTTGGGCGTCACTTCGCCCTGAGATCCTGGCGCCTCAGTTTTTTCGAGCCGGGCGCTTTCGTATCTTTTCGGGCCCTGTGACCCTGACAGATCGATCTGGCTCGACAAATGACGCAGAAAGATGGAGTCCAGGGTTCCGGGTGTGATTTTTTACGATGTTACCGTTTTCTGCTACGTCGGATCTCAGGGTAGTGGGGGGGTAAATAAAGAGAGAGGGGGGGGGGAAAGGTGCATTTCTCGGGCCCTAAAGGCCCCTTTAGGGGCCTGAGGTTCCCCTCTTCTGCAGCCCTCGCTGCCCCCCCATTAATCACGTAGGGGGATGAGCGTGTATGCGTTGCGGCTGCTTGGGAATCTGCCACATAAGAGGTCTCATGTCGAAGTGTGAGCCGCCCAAGAAGGCTGGGAGGGAAAAGCATGCCGCCCTTGAGGCGAGCCGCTGTCCACGGGCCACTGCGCGAGCTAAAGCATATACTGCACGGCTCGGGCAGCTGGCCATAAGGAGGAGTGCGTGAACAGAGGTGCAAGCAAATCTTAATTTTTCGTCCCCGCGGCCGTATTTGAGGAGCGATCGGAGCAAAAAAAGAAACCATCGACCGCCCCCCCCATTGCTCGACGCCCAAAGCGCGCGGGGCATCACGGCACCGGGCGCCATGGCGCCGAGGGGAGCTGGCACGCCAGACCAGAGCACGTAAACACAGGCACGATGCGCAACAGCAAGTGAGGTCCGGAATCGACAGCGGCTGATGGGCCGATTTTCCATTACCAGCACTACTATAGGTAGGAGGAGGACGAGGGGGAAGAGGATGAGGATGAGGAGGAGGAAGACCTCCCCATTCTCCCTTCTCCCCCTTCCTACCTACGGTAAGGGTGGTGGAAAATTGGCCCATCAGGGGCCGGTGTTCGACGGGCGCACTGCCGTCGTCAAGCGGCAACGCCCGCGGCGACGCCGACGGCGAGCCCGTTTCGGAATGGGTAGCGGCTTTCGGTCTTCGCCGCCATCCTTTCCATATCCGTTTCGATCGCACCTTGGGGAACAAAAAGGGTACCGTTACAGCTGCTCCCCAGACCTCTCCCGGGATGCGTTTTGGCTAATATTTCGGGGAGCATCCAGCCGTGGCGACAAGGTCTATCCACGACAGGCAGCGGTATCAGTGTCTGGAGGCCTCCTAGATGGGGCCAGAGTAGATGGGGTCGGAGGATCGCGCCGCATCGGCGGTTTCGACGATGCATCGGCGACGTCCGCGTGAAGCAAAGTCGGCTCATGCATCGGCGACACACCGGCGATGCACCGCTGATGCATCGGCGAGGTCGACGATGCATCGGCGACGTCCGCGTGCAGCACATCGGGCTCCTCATCGAGCCGCATCGTCGATGCATCGGCGATGCGGCGCAATCCTCCGACCCATCTACGCCGACCCCATCTGGTAGGCCGATGAGGAGAATGACAATGATGATGATGATGATGATGATGATGATGATGATGATGATGATGATGATGATGATGATGATGATGATGGTGGTGATGGTGATGGTGATGGTGATGGTGATGATGATGAGGATGAGGATGATGATGATGCTGATGGTGCTGATGACGATGCCGATGGCGATGACGATGACGATGACGATCACGATGATGATGATGCTGATGATGATGAGGAGGATGATGATGATGGATGATGATGATGATGATGATGAGGATGAGGATGAGGATGAGGATGAGGATGAGGATGAGGATGAGGATGAGGATGAGGATGAGGATGATGATGATGATGATGATGATGATGATGATGATGATGATGATGATGATGATGATGATGATGATGATGATGATGATGATGATGATGATGATGATGATGATGAGTATCTGTTCTTCCCCTGAGCACCGAGGGACGCACCGCGCGGAAGGGGGCCCCTCACGCCCACGGCGAGCGCGACGGCGTCACCGCGCCAGGCGTCGCGGCGCCGGGCGCTACGGCCAGGGACGCCCCGCGGGAGCCTGGGGCGCTGCACCAAAGGGGAGGGCGGTGGACGGGGGGCGCAGAAGCGTGCACCACTCTCGTACCCGATTTTGGGGGCCCCGAAGCTGCACGAGAGGCGCACCCTTCTTCACCGCCCCCGCTGTCGTAGGACGAGGCCAGGACGAGGATAGATTCGGGTGAGGATAAGCCGAGGATCTCTGAGATCCATGGAAACTCGAGGATGGCTCGGGCGCCGCAGCATTCTAAGAGCGTTCCGGAACGCTCTGAGAGCGGATCTTTCCTCGTCCTACGTGGCCCCGTCCGACTTCCCTTCCGCCCCCGATGATGCAACGCCCGAGAGCCCTGCGGCGTCACGGCGCCGAGGGACGCCCCGCGGGAGCCCTGCGGCGTCACGGCGCCTGGGGCCACGGCGAGGGACGCCCCGCGGGAGCCCTGCGGCGTCACGGCGCCAGACCGCGCGCTGAGGGCATGGCTGATGGACGCGCCGCGGGAGCCCGGCGGCGTCATGGCGACGGGGGGCACGCTGAGGGACGCGCCGCGCGAGCCTCGGGGTGAGGCCAGCGGTGGCGCGGGCAGCGGCAGATCGGCCTAGCCCCCTCCTGCTGCTCTTCCTCGACCTCCTCCTCCTCCGCCTCCTCCTCCTCCTCTTTCTCTTCCTCCTCCTCCTCCACCTCCCCCTCCTCCTCATCAAACAGGCCCTCCTCCACCTCCTCCACCTCCTCCTCCTCCTGCTCCTCCACCTCCCGCTCCTCCTCATGAAACAGCCCCTCCTCCACCTCCACCTACTCCTCCTACTCCTCCACCCTCCTCCTCCTCCTCCTCCTCCTCCTCCTCCTCTTCGCCCCCTTCCCCTCCAATCTTCTCTTCCTGCTCGTCCTCCTCTTCCCTCTCCTCAATCTCCTCCTTCTCCACCTCCTCCTTCCGCATCTTCTGATTAGTGCCGGCATTACTAGAATTACTCTTGAGGTATTCGCATTCAGATTACCTGTATGATTTGTAATATTAATAGTTGTACTAGGATTATAATTAGTAGTAGCTTCCTTACTACGAATCATAGCACTTCTACCATGGTCATCATCAGTACCTTTCTTACTATTGTGTTGATTGGCCTTGAAGAACCGTCTCATCCATCCGTGGCTGGCCTTGAAGGCAAGTATACATTACCTGGCAGATCCGTTCCTATAAACCAGCGTGACACCATTCCGCAAAGCGCTTCGTGCTCAGGTTGTACCAGGGAACTCCCTAAACCACCTACGCCCAGAGGGCTGGGTGGAATTTCCTGTGTCTCCACTCTGAGGTCCTGGCGTCTCAGTTTCTGTTGAACAGGGCGTTTCGCCCGGTTTCAGGCCCTGGAACCTTCACAGATCGATCTGGCGAGAACATGGCTCAGAAAGATGGGGTCCGGGGCTCCAATCGTGCTTTTCACGATGTTTCAATTTGGTAACGTTACATTGTAAACCGGGTCGTGATTGCCAGGGAACACCGGGATCGCTGCGGCGGCCGCCGCTGCCATCTCTGCACCGAAACCCGTGGGGCGCATCACGGGCTCCGCTGCCAGAAGCAACAGCAGGAGCCTTTTTGCTGAGAAAGCAGTAGCACGTGAGCCAAACAGTTGCGGCCCACCGCTGAGATGCACCACTGGAATTCCTAAACCGCGTTGCTCACCCAGTCGCATGGCCATGCTCTACCTCCTTCTTCTCCTCCTCCTCCTCCTCCTCCTCCTCCTCCTCCTCCTCCTCCTCCTCCTCCTTCTCCTTGACCTCATCCTCTTCCTCCTCCCCCCTCTCATTTTCCTTGTCTTGATTGCCATCATCATCATCATCATCATCATCATCATCATCATCATCATCATCATCAGCATCATCATCATCCTCCTCCTCCTCCTCCTCCTCCTCCTCCTCATCATCATCATCATCATCATCATCATCATCATCATCATCATCATCATCATCATAATCATCTTTATCATCATCATCAGCAGCATCATCATCATCATCATCCTCATCATCATCATCATCATCATCATCATCATCATCATCATCATCATAATCATGATCATAATCATCATCATCATCATCATCAGCATCAGCATCAGCATCAGCATCATCATCATCATCAGCATCAGCATCATCATCATCATCAGCATCAGCATCGTCATCATCATCATCAACATCATCATCATCACCACCACCACCATCATCATCATCAGCAGCATCATCACCACCATCATCACCATCATCCTATCCATGTTCAAATTCGTATTCGTCATCAGCAGCATCACCATCAGCATCAACATCAACACCATCAGCATCATCAGCATCAACAACATCATCAGCATCAACAGCATCATCTGCATACACATACTCATCATCATCATCATCATCATCATCATCATCAGCATCATCAGCATCATCAGCATCATCAGCATCAACATCAGCATCAGCATAAACTTCATCATCCTCATCATCATTAGCAGCATCCTCATCATCGATAGCAGCATCATCAGCAGAAGCATCAGCAGCAGTAGCACCATCACATCCTCTCTCTCTCTCTTCAGTCTCTCGCCTCCCACCGCCCTCCCCTACTCGGAGCGAGGAGGGGACTGAGGTTAGGTCGGGCATGTCCCCCTACAGGGGGATTTTGGGCGGAAAAAATCCAAAAACAATTGAACAAATAATCACAAATGGTCAAAAAAACGTCCCCGTATTATTTTTGGACTCTTTTTGAATGTTTCTCCTGTAGAGGGACAGGCCCGACGTAAGACTGAGGAGGGAGGGGCGAGGGAACACGACGCGGCGGCGGCGACGACGACGGGCAACGACGACGACCGATGGTAGCGACGGCGCGCCTCCGGGGGTCGTCGCGGGATGCCCTGGCCGACCGGGCGCGGCCCCGACCTGCGTGGTGACGCTGCAACACGACAGAGTGAGTGGGAGGAGGACTCGAGGTGATTCGGCTTTGTGGCGCCTCAGCCCCGTCAGCGGGCTCAGCCTCGAGTCACCACCCTGTAGGGCACGGTGGCCCGATGTGGCATGTGGCCTGGGGTCATCTGGGTCCAGGCCGCACGCGCCAGGCCAAAGAATGAAGAGAGCCTGGACGCCCGGGGAGGAGGCAGGAGGAACAAGGAAGGCGTGGAGGTGGAGGTGAAGATGGACGTCCGGGTACAGGTGTGGGTCCGACGGCGTCCGAGGCGGGGCGCGCCCCACAACGGAGCGGTGCAGCAGCGCGACGCCCGCCCAAGCGCAGGCGGAGACTGAACGGAGCAAAGAAACTGCGGTGGAGAAAAGGAGGAGAGGAAGAGGAGGAGGAGGAGGAGGAGGAGGAGGAGGAGGAGGAGGAGGAGGAGGAGGAGGAGGAGGAGGAGGAGGAGAGAGAGGCAGGAGGGAGGAGGAGGAGGAGGAGGAGGAGGAGGAGGGGGAGGAGGAGGGGGAGGAGGAGGAGGAGGAGGAGGAGGAGGAGGAGAGGCAAGAGAGGGAGGGGGCGGCAGCGAAGCGGCAGCGAGCACGCGCTGGCACCCCCAAAGGGACAGGCGGCAGTCTCGGTGCGCGGCGTGCGAAGGCGGTCCCGCGGCGCACCGAGAGATCGCGCCCGCGCGGAGGAGCTCCAACTCTCTTGGTGGTCTCCAAACCAGGTGGTGAGACACCCGGTGGTGACCCCGCTTCCCCCCAAAAAATAACTCTGGGTCACCACCGGGTTTGGGGACACGCGGTCGCCACGAGGTTTTGCGTTTCCTGGGCTAGCCAGCGCTCGAAAACCATTACCCAAATCGCCCAAAACTCACCACCGGGTGTTCTCACCACCACGTTTGGGGACCACCAACTCTCACTCGTGCCCCCGTCTGAGCCTGAAGAGGGCCCTTCCAGGGCCCTCCTCCAGAATCCCTCGCAGAGCCTCGGGGCCCGGGCTTCATCTCAGCATGACGGTCTCGCAGTTCCCGTTGGCCTTCGTCTCACGCTGCCGTTCGCCAGCGCTCGTACCTCTCACAGTCAGCGTTGCTGCAGATGCTTCTGAGTTGCCTCCCGCCTCCGTGCAGGCTTGGTTATGGAGGGTTCGACAAGTTCGCGCGATGACGTCGACACCGCGCTCTGACACCACGCGGATCGTCACCAGCCTGGAACATATCCCTATCCCGATGCTGGGCACCTCCTCATCACGATGCCAGTCTTAGGGACTCCCTTAGTTTTTGAGGGCGGATCCCTAAGATTGTCATCGCCTTTTGGCGTGTCAATCCTAGGGATAGGGATACTTTCGAGGCTGGTAAGATCGTTAAGCCTTGAACGATCGCGGCTTCCCAGCATCGCCGATCCGTCGAGATCGTTCGATGTCGGGCCACTGGCGGCGCTCCAGCTTTGGAGCGCCCGAGCCTGGTGGCCTCGCCGCCGCGTCGACGCGGCGCGAGCCTGCCGCACCTCCGTCCCGGTGCTCCTCCCCCTCCCCACCCCCTCTACCCCCGCGCGAGGGGGAGGAGTTGGCGGCGCGCAGAGGGGGGCAGGGGGAGGGGGGGAGGCTTCTTAGAAGCACCCCTGCTTCTTAGAAGGCCTCGGCCTTGCGTCTGCAGAGAAGGCCCGCGCCCTCTGAGAAGCAGGGGTGCTTCTGAGAAGCCTTCCCCCCTCCCCCTACTCAGCGCCCCACAAACGGGGACTCCACTAACGGGTACTTTGGCCAGTGACCCAGCGAACCCAACCCTTCCCGATGCGGGCAACGCTGCATTGCCAGAAAGAGGCCCTAAAGTGGCAACTTTCGGCAAACTTGCAAAGTACCCGTTAGTAAGTACCCGTTACGGTGCCGTTGACCTACCCCCCTCTGCGCGTTGCGCCCAAGGAGAGCGGGAGCGGGGAGGAGGACACCCGCACCAAAGGGGGCAACGTCGGAGCCCCCTGCACGGGCGAGCCGCGCGCTGCTGCCAGAATCCCCCTGCGATGCGCTTCGCTGTGCTGCAGCCCATGCCCTCTCGCTGGGGCACGCAGGGGGGCAGGGCGGCAGCGGGGACGGGAGGCGGCAGAAGGGTCGGGGACCCACCGACCCGCGCCGAACCCAGAGCCCAGCCGCTGCTGCTGCTGCTGCTGCTGCTGCTGCTGCTGCTGCTGCTGCTGCTGCTGCTGCTGCTTCTGCTGCTGCTGCTGCTGCTGCCGCCCCCTCCTAAGACAAAGCCGCATGACAGGGACCGAAGTGGACAGGGAAGGGCCTCCCATCGCTCGGACGTCCATTCCCCGTGCATGTTCGGCTTCGTGCGTGCATGCTTGTCGCAAGGTGATCCGAGATGCTCCTCGGTGGTCCTCGACGCGAGAAAATGCACACGCCCGAACGATGCCAAGTGAATGGGGGATCTCTGAGATCTGGCGGCTCTGGAGGATGTATCTGGCTTTGCGGCCTTCTCAGAGCGTTCTGGCACGGTCTGAGAGCGTTCTGGAACGCTATGAAACGAATTATCCCCATTCTGACCCCGCCCGACCTCACACTACTCCTGGGCTGTTGGCAGATACCGCTACCGCTACTCCCAGATTTCTCCTGGGGTGCATTCTGACCAGAACTTCGAAGCGAATCCAGCCGTGGCGACGAGGGCCTCCCGGGAGGTCAACAAAAGAACGAAGACGACTCAAGGGGGGGTAGCAGTAAGGGTACTGTTTCATCTTCTGAGCTGAGGGCCAGGGATCGGATCGACTCGAGCTGCGCAGTGTCGTCTGGGGCCCGCCCTGTCGGGAGGGGGGGCGCACGGGCGAAGCTTTGAGCTCCAAACAGTTGTGGCAGTGTTTATCCCCCGCCCTGCCCGGCGGGTGGGCCAGGGAGGGAGGACTGGCGGGGAGGGGGGAGCTCTAGTCGCCCGCAGACCGCGACACTGCCGCCAGGCTGCAGGGCGACGCTGTTGCCGCTCAGCGCGAGTCCCGCCGCCGCTCTGGCCGCCGCCGGCGCGCGCTTGAGGTCCTCGCGCGTGATCTCGCCATCGCCGTCGCTGTCCAGCATGTCGAAGAGCCTCCAAGCGCTGCCGAGCGGGCCGATTCTGTGAAGGCCCACCCTCTCCCCCCCGAAGGCAGCCAGGCAGCCTCCCTCCTCCTCCTCCTCCTCCTCCTCCTCCTCCTCCTCCTCCTCCTCCTCCTCCTCCTCCTCCTCCTCCTCCTCCTCCTCCTCCTCCTCCTCCTCCTCATCCTCCTCCTCTCTCCTCCTCCTCCTCCTCCTCCTCCTCCTCCCTCCTCCTCCCTCCTCCTCCTCCTCCTCCTCCTCCTCCTCCTCCTCCTCCTCCTCTCCTCCTCCTCCTCCTCCTCCTCCTCCTCCTCCTCCTGTCCCAGCCCCGCACGCCCCGTCCTTGGTCGAGGCGCCGATGCGTGTAAAGAAGAAGAAGGCAACAGCCGGTTTGGAGGCCTCCCAGGTGGGGACCGAGCACATGGGGTCGGAAGATCGCGCCGCATCGTAAATAGCCTCGGCGATGCATCCGCGATGCAGAGCTACCCTCCGACCCCATCTACTCGGACCCCCTATCTGGAAAGCCTGGCGTGCTGCCCGCGGCAGCATGGCCCCCGGAGCTCTCGACCCCCTCCCCAGAAGCTGGCTTGTCTCGAGCCCTCCCCAAAAGCTGGCACGTGGCAGTGCACACCGTGGAGGAGGAGGAGGAGGAGGAGGAGGAGGAGGAGGAGGAGGAGGAGGAGGAGGAGGAGCAGTAGGAGGAGGAGGAGGGGGCCTCTGGACCGCTGCGGATCGCTCGGCCCCGATCTGTCGGCGACTCCGAAGGGCGTGGTCTGAAGGAGCGCGGTCTGCATACGGCACCCGGGAGGGCACGCCAAGGAGCGGGCGGGGGCCTCGACGGAGCTCTCCGGCGCGCCCCGAGGAGGCCCGACGAGGACAGCGTCGTGCCCCCCATAAGCCTCAACGGCACCGATCGCAAACTACACCCCGGATTGACCATACCCTTTGTCGGGGGCGGCCAGGATGGGGGAGGGGGGGGGGGGCGCAAATCATGGCCAGCGGCACGTGCGCGGCCCAGGGGGAGAGCCGGGGACGTACTGAAGTAAGAACAGGCGCCATGAAACCTGGGGAGATATCATGGCCCCTGCTATGATATCCCGCCTAGTCATCACTCCCCTTTATGACGTCCCCGACTTTAGAGTCGCCGAATAAGGTGAACGTCTTCTTTTTCGGCGTTTCGACATTGGGCGGAAGGGGCGGGGAGTGAGGGAGGGGCCTGGCTCTGGACCTCTGCTTACTGCGTCTATTTGCAACTATGCGTCCGATGGGAGAGACTCCACCTGCTTGAGACAGGCGCCAAAGACAGCCAAAAGAGGTACTCCAGGGGGGGGGAGAAGGGGGGGGGATGCGAGGAGGGCCCGCGCCGATCGGCGAAACAAGAAATAACAAACGCTCACCTGGGACCCAGATCGTTTGGCCGCTCCTGGGGGCGCCTGTCCCAGGGCTCGCCCGCGCCGCCGCGACCCTCCGCTGCGCCCGGGAGACGCCCGTGGGGGCTGGCCGCGCCGGGGCTCTCTGGGCCCGAGGAGCTTCCCGGGGAAGAGGAGCCCGACCAGTCTCCTTCGGGCGGAGGAGGAGGAGGAGGAGGAGGAAAGGCTGAGGAGGAGCAGGGGGGTGAGGAGGAGGAGGTGGAGGAGGAAGAGGAAGAGGAAGAGGAAGAGGAGGAGGAGGAGGAGGAGGAGGAGGAGGAGGAGCAGGAGATCGAGGAGCAGGAGATCGAGGAGGTTGAGGAGGAGGAGGAGGGGGAGAATGATGAGGAGGAGGAGAAGGAGGAGGAGGAGAATGAGGAGGAGGACCAGTGCAAACCCACGCCTCATCAACGATGTTGCAATAAACCCTCCCTCTCAGCTCCCTCTCCATAGGCCCCTACAGAGACTCGTTTCCACTGAGGGAAGTGCCCCGTTGAATACAACCGATTGAAAATCCTGACCTGTGCCAGGTTCTCAGCACTCCTGGGGCGTCAACGTCACGAATCAACCTTACTTTTGCGTCTTGAGAAGTCTGGATCGTGCCAGATCACCAGTCCTGGGACTTCCACACCGCGAATTCCGTAACTGTTGCGCCCTGACAATCCTGCACCACGGGACGTGTACTATGATCATCGTTGAAACTGCTGCGAGCTCTTAAACGAATGTTCGCGGCGCTAAGGCGAGAACCACATGTTGGAAACGACCCGCCCTCCAATGTGCGCGGCGCTGAAGCGAGAGCCTTATTTGGGTAACGGCCCGCCTCCCATCCGTGAAACTCTTGCAACAGCTTAACACGAATGTGCGCGGCGCGAGAGCGAGAAGCTCATGTTGAAAGCGGCCGCCCTCCATCCGTGAAACGATTGCAAGTTCCACGCTTAAAGATCATGAGCGGTGGTGAAGTCTCAGACGAAACATCTGGACCGCCCTACCGACATGTCTCGGGGTGCGACAGGGAGGGATTACCGGTTATAAGGGAAGAAACGAGGAGGCGATGAAGAAGGAGAACAACGACGACGATGCGATAACGGCGCCCATGCACCCCACTATGTTTGGATTCCCTGCAGGCCCCGCTCCAACGATGTACGGAGCATACCGTATCGGCTCCGAGGGCCGAAAAACTGTACACCGTACCGCTGCTGAGCAGGATCGACGACGCCTGGAGAGACGCCAACGGGGCACGGTGCATACAAGTCGTCCGCATAGAGTAGGTGAACGGCGAAAACAAACACAGGAGCAGCAGCAGCAGCAACAACAACAACAACAACAACAATCACTTTACCCGAACGCTCAGTGTTCTCACCAGTGCCAAGGTTTTCATGCGACGCCAGCCAATACCCCCACTTTGTGGGGGGGCAGTGCAAGCTCTACCAAATATCCACACGACTCTTCGCCACCACCCACACCCAGCTTCCCGCCCTATGACGTTCGGACACTTCACTTCGTGGCCTGCGGACGACCGTGGCTACTACACTGGCGTGGAGTACACACCCACAGAAGTTGTTAAGCCTACGTTCGTACACCCACAGAAGTTGTTATGATTCGTGTGATTTTATGATGCGCGGTGCTAAAATTCTTAAGAAGCCCAATGGTTTTTGGGGATTTCGGCGTGCGCGCGCGAAGAAAAAACGAATGTGTCCCGCATGGTATTATTTGACAGGGATGATGGCCCTGGCAGGTGCGCAACCGTTGTCGCAGAAGTTCGAAAAAGTTGCTCGCAAAAGCCCGTTTGACAGAAATGTTTAAAAAGTGTTGGGTTTCCTACGAATCCGCAAGAGCGCGCGGGATGAGATTTTGACATTTTTTTGTTGAAAAACCATTGGTTTTTTGATGTTTTTATGTTAAAATCGCTCCGAACACTAAGCTTTTGGAAGGATTTCGTCTTGCGCGCGCGAATGTCCACTTTACCTTATTTTTTGCAAGGGATTCTTGAAATTTGATTATATTAGAACAAGAAATGTCATTTTATAGTGTTTTTTGCAAGGGAAAACGGATTACAACAAAACAACCGGATCTGGATCACATCGTTTTACCTGAGGCTTCCTCACGAAAATGATGAAAATGTAGCTGCGGCCTAGGCGGCGCAGAGGGGGCGTGCACCAGGGGGCCCAACAATAATTATTCTTTAGAATAAATAATGTTCAACAACACCAACCACATCAAAAACAGCAACAACAACATCACCACCACAACAACAACAACAACAGCAACAACAACAACAACAACAACAACAACAACAACAACAACAACAACAACAACAACAACAAAGTTAAGACTGTTCGCCCTTATATGCTCGAGTGTCCAATAAAGCGTATTTCCCAAACCCTCGATACCCGCCCTCTTCGTCTTCGATCGAACCCCTTTTGGGGGGTATACCTTTCTTCCCTGCAGGCTGGGCCCCGGCAAGCGGCGGGGAGGCCGCGGACCGTCGGCCTCGCCACCGGCAGCGCTGATCGGGGCGGCCGCGGACCGTCGACCCGACCCCAAGAGGGACGGACAGGGGACCGACCACGACGACGACGACGACGACGACGACGACGACGTCGAAGACGACGGCGTCGAAGACGACGACGGCGACGACGAGCGAAAGCGAGAGCGAGAGAGAACGACAGCAGGGCCACGAAGGGCACGAAGTGGGCCACGAAGGGCGACAGCGGGGACACGAAGGGAATGCGTACGGGGCCACGAAGAGCGCGAACGAGCGGGGGCCACGAAGTGCAGATAATGCGGGGCCACAGAAGGCAACTATGGGGCCACTGAGGGTAGCAACTGGGCCACGTAGGGCAGTGAGGGGGACACAAATGGCCACAGCGGGGCCACGAAGGGCATGCACATGGGGCCACAACGGGCGCGACTCCTGGGTGCCTGGGTGTCGGGAGCGCGGCGCTTGGGCAAATTGCAGGAAATTCCAACGCAAGGCCATTCTTCAGTAAGTTGCCAGCACGTCTCCAGCGAGAGCGCGACTCCAGAGCGCCGGGAGAGCGATTCCTGAATAAATTGTAAGGAAGTCCCAAGCGAGAGCGCGATTCCTGCATAAAATGCAAGGAAGTCTCGGGCGGGAGAGGGGGTCCTGGCTAAATCGTAAGGAAGTCTCAGGCGTCAGCTGTTGTTGTTGTAACCCGAGGGCCAAGGGGCCAGTTTGAGCAGGAAGATTTGCCCTGTCAAAAAACAGGGTGCGAGCGTCGAGGGGCACACTTTGATTGAGAAAAACAGTATGCACCGGTGGGGGGATCAACAATAATTATTCTGCAGAAATGAGAACTCAACAACAACAACAACAACAACAACAACAACAACAACAACAACGACGACGACGACGACGACGACGACGACAACAACAACAACAATAACAAAAACAAGAACAACGACACCGACAACAGAAACGACAACGACAACATCAATTACAACAACAACCACAGCAACAGCAACAGCAACAGCAACAGCAACAGCAGCAACAACTACAACAGCAGCAGCAGCAACAGCAGCAACAACAACAATACACATTGAAACTTGATCACTCCCATTCTGCTCGCGTGCCATTCAACACGTATATCCCTAGCCCTCGGTATCCGCCACCGTCGTCTTCCATCGTACCCCCCTGAGGGTAGATCTTCCTGACCTGCCACGCGCGTGTAGAGCAGCCTCATAACACAGGGGAAGAGAGGACGGATGGAAGGGGGAGGGAGAGGGATGGAGCACGAGAGAAACTAGCAATAGGGGGGCACGGAGCAGAAAGCACGTGGCAGAACCCGGGCGGGCAGATCGGGCGGGCAGGCGCGCCCAGTCGACCAGGTAGAGCAGACTGGTTGCTGAAGCGTGAGTCCTGCATGAAATTCTCGAGCGATATCGCGATCCTCAAGTAAATCGTGAATAAGGCCGGAGCGAGGGCGTGATTCCTGAGTGTCGAGGGCGCGGCGTCTGAATCCCGCCAGGCCTCCGGGCATAGGTGGTCTAAGGATATCTTTCTTCCCTCTTCCAAGAGCCCCTCTTCCCCTTCGGGGAGGGGGATACCCCTCCCCAGTACCCCCTCCCCTGGACCTGGACGGGGAGGGGCCAGAGGTGTCAGAGCGCCCAAGATAGCCCAAGATGGCTCCAAGCGGGCCCCAGAGTCCAAGACAGCCTCCAAGACCGCTCAAGATGGCCAAACATGGCTCAAGATAGCTAACAGCATGCCTCCAAGAGGCCCCAAGAGGGCCACAAGACGGATCCAGGTGCTTTTGGAGACCCCTCAGGACCTCCCCGAGAAGCCAAAATCCTTCAAAAACCGTAGGGAAATCAATGATGCTTGCCTTCCCGTCATTTCGCTTCCGATGCGCTTTTGAGGCCTTACGATGGCCCTAAGATGGCCCAAGAGAGCCCCAGGATGGGCCCGAGAGGCCCCCAAGACGGCCCCAAGACCGCTCTTGGCCCCAAGACGCGATTCCGAGGGCAATTAGGGGAGGGGGCTACATATAGGACCCCCCCCCCTTCTGATCGATGGCTTCCAAGCTGGCTCCAAGAGGCCCTCCAAGGCTTCCAAGAGGCCCCGAAATGAGTCCCATGAGAGCCGCAAGAAGGCCCCAAGAGGGCCTCAAGAGCGCCTTAAGAGTGCCCGAAGGAGTGACTTTGAGGGCTCTTGGGGGGGGGGGGGGGCTACTCTCCTCCTCCTCCCTCCTCCCTCTTCCCTTCTTCCTCGTCCCTCCTCCCTCCTCCCCCTCTCCTCCTCTGGCTCCCCTGGCTCCTCCTGCACCCTCCACCTCTAGGGTACGACGGCTTCCAAGCCTCTGTTCCAATGCATGCTCCTCCACATCCCTGATCGGGGCAACTCGCCTGGACATCGTTTCTTCTGGATGGGCTGGTGGGGTTACGCGACGAAGCGTCTAAAATAAATTGCGAGGAAGTCCCACGCGGGAGCGCGACTACTGCGTACATTGTGTGGAAATCCCGCGCGCGACCGCGATGTTGGAATTGTCTGTGAGGGCGTATAGAGCGGGAGCCGCTGCTGTGGTCAACTGGTGGGCCAAAGGCATAGTTTTGTGTGACCCCACACTTCCTGTCTGAAACACGGCCCGAGCCCTGGAAGGAGCACTTTAAACACCATGGTCACCGAGCCAGGGGGCCAACAACAACAACAGCAGCAGCAGCAGCAACAACAACAACAACAACAACAGCAACAACAACAACAACAACAACAACAACAACAACAACAACAACAACAACAACAACAACAACAACAACAGCAGCAGCAGCAGCAGCACCAACAATCTTAACCACAGCAGCAGCAGCACCAGCAGCAGCAACAACAACGATCACACCACATCAGCGACCATCACGACAACAGCAACAACAACATCGAACAGCAACACCACCAACACCACCACCAACAACAACAACAACAACAACAACAACAACAGCAACAACACAACAACGACAACGACAACGACAACAACAGCATCAACTACAACAGCAACAACACCGCCACCAACAACACCAACAATAACAACAATAACAGCAGCAACAACAACAACAACAACAACAACAACAACATCACCAACAATAGTAACACCACCAACAACAACACCAACAACAACACCAACAACAACAGCAGCAACAACAACAACAGCAATTACAACAGCAGCAGCAGCAAATCAAAAAGCACAATGGATACCGGAGGGTGGGATCAACAAGACTGACTCTCGACATGAAAATTCCAAAAACGACGAGGGGGGTGGAGACGAACGGGGCGACGCTCCCCTGGCCCAGCGACTGGTCTCCTGCTGCAAGCTGGGCCTTCCTGGCGGTGCCCGCCAGCCGCGTCCTGCGGAAGACGTAGAGCAGCGCCAGCGAGAGGACGACGACCAGCGCCGAGGCGAGGCCCAGCCACATCCAGGGCAGCTGGCCTGGCTCGTGGACGGCGCCTGGGCCCATGAGAGTGCTGCCGACCGCCTGGGGGCGCACGTCCATGGCCTGCCTGGCAACCTCGTCGTCGACGAGGGCCACCGCTGCCCGCGTGGTGGACGTCAGCGTCGTCCAGGCCGACGAGGCCGACGGGTCGACGTGGTGGCTGCCTGAACGGAGGCTTCAAAGAGGCCAGCTCGGGGGAAGACGCTGTGGCCCGGTACACGGTCGGGGCGTTGACCTAAGGAACCCTAAGCAAGGAACGAGACCCCTTGTCTTCCATAAGTTAAGCTTCGATTTCCCATAGAAAGCCAAGGGGAAACCCAAGGCAAACTGCGAAACCATTAAGGAACACGGAGCCCCTCCCCAACGCCAAAGGTTCCTTCTTCAGCGCCCCGACTGTACTGAGCCACGGCGTCCATGCGATGCCATTGTATCGCGAAGACGTCGACGATACATCGCCCGTTGGCAGAGAAGGACAGATGAGGGGCAGGGGCATGGACGTGGAGGTCGAGGGGGCGGGGGATGGACGTGGAAGTTGAGGGGGCGGGCGGAAACACAAGAGCGAAAGATGAACATGTGGACGCCCGAGGTGGGTACGGAAAATTGGGCACGATGCCCAACAGCGAATGCTGTCCAAAACCGACAGCTGCCGCTGTTGGGAAGGCGGCCTTCTGCCTCAAATGGACAAGCCTGCGGCGACACCGACAGTGAGCCTTCTTCAACATGGGCAGGAACTACAGCTAGTCGCCGTACAGTCGAACCCAGGACAAAAGAACACCCCTCAAGAACACGAGACCCTCCGCAGGCAAAAACGCACTGAACATCCAAGGGTACCCTCCTCAGGGTGCACAAGCACGAAAAACAATGGGGCACCCTCCCCGAACCGACCTCGACCTTGTGCCTCTACCCGACTGCGCCCATTATCTCCGAACCCATTTCGGTCCTCCTGAAGAGCAGCCCCAGGGGCCGATGAGTTTGCAAGTATCCCCCGCCCCGCCCTGGCCAGCTCCTCCGTCCTCACCCCGACCTCCTCCGACTCCTGCTCCTTCTCCTTCTCCTCCTCCTCCTCGCCCTGCTCCTCATCCTCCTCCACCTCGCCCTCCGCCTCCTTCTCCTCCTCCTCCTCCTCCTCCTCCTCTTCCTCCCCTCCTCCTCCTCCTCCTCCTCCTCCTCCTCGCCCCTCCTCTTCCTCCTCCACCTCCCTCCTCCTCCTCCTCCTCCTCCTCCCTCCCTCCTCTCCTCCTCCTCCTCCTCCTCCTCCTCCTCCTCCTCTTCCTCCTCGGTGGTCCTCGGTGGTCCTCCTCGCTCGGGGGCTCTCCGCTCGTGGCTCTCTGCACTTCAGAGCTCCAGGATTCTACCGCGCGAGGGTCGGCCACTTCAGGTGGTTCCCACGCGCCGTCGCTGGGACCACTGGTCATTGCGGCCAGTGGGGGGGCCAATGTTTGACACCCCTCACGAGGATCGTGGCCCCCGAAGGGGGGACGAACATCGAGGACCCCCCTTTTTTGACCGACCGCCTCCAACATGGCCCCAAGAGGCCCTGTACGGCTCCCAAGAGGCCCCCAAGAGGGTCCCACGAGCGCCCCAAGAGGCCCCAAGAGGCCTCCAAGAGGCCCCCGAGAGGCACCCA